GGGTGAGAGGGGCGTGGATTGCTGCGGGTTTCTGTTCGAGATAGAGAAGAGGGGCTAGGATAGGTGAATTTAAGGGCTACATAATTTGCGAAAATTTTTTCACGGCGATGACGGGTAGAGTTACCCGACGGGGAATTGCGACAATTTGAACGTTGCGGATGAGAGGGATGCAGTTTGCTGCGGGTTTCTGTTCGAGATAGAGAAAAGGGGCTGGGATAGGTGAATTTAGGGGCTACATGACTGTAGATACTTTGTCGGTCGGCTAGTTCACGTACATTCGAACGGAAGGGGCAAAGGGGTGATGGATGGAAAGAAAGAGGAAGTGTGTTCCTGTTTTTTACCGATACCCTCGGTAGGAAAAGACCTGAAATACTGCTCGCTTACACAATGCTGTTAAAGTGAGGATAGAGAGAAGCTCAGATGTTATTTTGCAGGCAGAACTGGGAGATAAGGTGAAGAAAAGGAACGAGGACACAAGTGAGGAGCTTGAAGCAAGAACTGCAGACAGAGCGAAGAAAAAAAGGATAAAACAGCACTACAAAGAAAAGTAAATCAAAGCAAACTGGAGTTTATGAATAAAATCAAAAAAAAGGAAAGTAAAAAAAAAAATCCAAGCCTATGGAAAAAAGAAAAAAAACTGAGCATATGCGAGTGGGAATTATCCTGTAGGAGCCCGTCATCAGTAGAGAATTTCTCTTTTTATGAAACTGATGGTTAGGTAAAGCTGAAAGCGAATATATTCCATTATAGGATATGAACTAAGCACTCTTTAGAAAACGAATTTGAACGCTAGAGATTATCATGGCGGGCACAACATCCTTTCATCCAAGTTATTGTATTTTCTTAATTTTTAAATTACTGAAAGCTTGAGTTGTTTTCTTTCAGTTGAAGGTAAGTGTGTCTTCATTTTTAGATAGTGTTGTTGTAAGTTCTAAATAATTTGGGAGTGGCACTTTTGAAACATCTTTGTTTATTTTTGAGTTATTTCATTATCAAAGTGCTTACAGTTGGAGAATGAAACACATACTTCCCTTCAATACGTTTATCGATACATATGATACTTAGATTGATCTCTTATCTAAATATTTTACGCAGAAAAAAAGCTTTTTCGCATTCTTTTAAAATTTGCAATAGAAATCTTTTAAATTTACTCCTGTTTGATAACGTCATTAAAAAAC